TTGTCTCAGTGAATCATTATTTTTGACAGACACTGTACAAAATACTTGGACCAAAGCCAGCTAAAATGTCTGATATCTTGCATGTTTTATGAATCTATTCACATCTAAATGCAGCACTTTTTTTTGCAATGAGACATTTGTTTTTATACTAAAATATCTGAATTACTTTGAATAAAGCTATAAAATTATGTCCCTTAAAATAATTAAACAAATAAGGCACCAATGTTTTTGTAAGATATTTACATCTTTTAAGGACATTCGGTAGACTGATTCCCCACTGTTGGTTCAACCCCAAAACTTGTTTGTATTCAAAATTAATTATGACAATGCATATTCATATTGAAATAAACTATGGTAAAGGGAATTATATTATATAACAAAGGGCAAGGTCACCAGAGTTCAACTATATTATTTAATGTGTCTCCAATACTCTCAGCACATCGGAGTTCTTTCTAAGCTTTCTTTGATTGGTTTTGCCACTGATATCTTGAGAGTAAAGTATTCCATTTTAATGAAACTTGGTATATAGATGCTCAAGGACAAAATTAAAAATCTGATTTAGTTGTGGATTGAAATGTGAGCATACTAATTACATAATTTGCATAATTAACCAATTTTCAGCTTTTTAACCAATGAATTGTCACATTGCAATGGAAATTAGTACATTAGTGCTTAATGTGAAATACTTGATTAGTTAGTTACACACCTATGTGAGAAAATACATCTATAAAATGACAAACCATGTTACTTTTTTGGGACATATTACACCACTTTTACAAAACAAGTTATGTTATCATTAATTTACACAACAATAAGCATATTTTATTAGCTGACCATTGAAAGTTTGTGACTGAGTTTTATTATCGTAAAATGAGTAAGATACATTTCATCTGTCATCATCATGAAAGCAGTTTCAGTACTTGTTTTACCTTTTAAAAAGGGCTAATTGCCTCTATAAAAAATATTATCCAGCAATATCAACACCAGCAGATCATACAGCAATAATAATGAAAATGAATTTTACTTTTGCAATACATTGTGTGAAATATTCAGGAGTATCACATGGTATTCTGATTGGACAATAGCATTCTTGACCCTAGACCTATTACATGTAGCTCAAAGGACACAGTGTTAAGTCTATTATGGGTGATTAGGAATCAATCAAGTGTTCTAAAACATTTGCTCACGATAATACAAACCTGAAATTTACATCTATTTTATGACAAAAAACCATGACTGAATAATAAGCAATTTTAATTCTCTGGTGTTTAGCAACAAATATATAAATGCTACTGCATTAAAAATATTTAAGATTGTCACTTGCAATTTTAAAGTCCACATTTTAACTTTTGAAACTGACCTTTGTAGTGACCTAAAAAATACCAAATCTATAGAACGAAATGATATACCGGTACTAGTATATGTCCTGATTCAGGACATATGCTTGCTCAAAATAATGTAAATTATAGAATTGAAACAGTTGATTGATAATGTAATGCAAAGGATATCTTTGAATTCATTCATCCATTCTCTAGATAATAATTGTTTCTATCCGATCAGCCTGCACTATACTAATTACACGAGGGGGGACGACACTCTATTACCAGTCTTTAGTGTATACATGCGTGGGGCACCCTCAAGTTACATGACTAAGAATTCTTTCTGTTTGAGGGCACTGCACTCAGTTTGTTCATTTGGCAAAGATATTTTCAATTCTTCAATTTCAGTAAATATGTCTGTCGTTTTGAAAACAACTCGCCAGATTGCATATTGTATAATGTAGACACGTTGCCTAGACCTATGTTAGATATGTTACTTGTGTGACAACAGTTCTCATTTTAGTGAATATTTTTGCCAAAATCAGTTAAAAAAAAAAAAAACTATTTGTAATGTGTTTTTAAAACCTACCAACTCTAATTGTTTTGACAAATTGATTTGACTCTTTCCTCTATCAGATTTAGCGTCCCTAACTGCAATTTTATCTTGATTTCGACTTGAAATGATTTTTTACATTTGATTTCATGCATATCGTAGGGTCTTGCAGTGAACAGTCAATTTTCACCATGCTACTCAGTCCTGGACAATGTATACCAAGTAGTTGGGTCGGAAAGATGTATGGTATTACAATGATACCACAAATTATATACTGAGAGAGTACATGGTCACATTGACCTCTGCTATGTATCTGATGCTGTTCTGTCTTCATGTATAATTTGCAATTAACCATATAATATGCCACTCATAGAATACATCTATAAACAGACTTGAAAAAGGAAACTAATACTATAGTTTGCTTATACTTTCAGGCAATAACAATAGAAGCGGAACCCCGGGCTGATGGTAGTCGTCGTACAACACGATATGATATTGACATGACTAAGTGTATCTATTGCGGATACTGTCAAGAAGCTTGCCCAGTTGATGCAATTGTTGAGGTAACTTGAAACATTTAAAACACAGTCCAGTTTAAATGTTACGTCCTGTGTGAGTAAACCATTTACTACATCGTATGTGTTGTGTAATACTTGAAGATATGTTTTTACATAAAAAGAAAAATGAGCTCACCAACATTTTTTCTAATTGTTCAAATTAACAAAAATTGAATTGACTTTTGAGGGAATAACCTAAATTTAGCTATTTTATAAAAGCCTTTATGTTTTCAAAGATTTGATTTTTACGAAGTCCGAAAACGAGGACTTATAATTCGGTCTCCGTGCGTCCGTCCAGAGTCATATCTCAGAATCCCTTGAAAGTCTTCATATTTCCACAATTTATGTACCATTTTCATTCATATTTGGCACATACATCATACATATCAGTGTGTTTCACAATCAAAGATCAAAGATGGCCGAATAACGGTCGTTTTTATTTTTGGCCATATTACTACTACACGGAACACGTGTTTTGATGTAAATAAACAATCTGTTGTATTGGAACTTGGAACTCAAGATTCAAGATTCAAGGACACGCTCGCCACAACCCCTCTGCTTTAATATGACGAGCACAAAGAGAATTTAACAGGGACTGTGTCATGACTTGTTTTTATTGACTCCTGTCTTTGATTTCAGTTATTATTCCCGAAGCAGGTCTTATAATTCAATCTCTGTCTCTATGGAGTCATATTTCAGAGCCCTGTGGACCAAATCTGTTCATTCTTTGCCTGTGTCTAGTACTTTATCTGGGACATGTGCACATGCAGTGGTTTACTGATTCAATTCAAGATGGCTGACTGGCAGCCATTTTGTTTTTGAAAAATTGTATATCTCATGCAAGCTTCGTCAGTTTTTGTTGCTGGGAAAGGATTGACCAGCTTTGTTATTAGTCCAAGAAAAGTCTTCAACTTGGAATGTGTCTGAACCCCTCATTTAATATGCAATTGTTTTTCTGGAGTAAATTGTAGTGTATTTTACTTATGAATGGTCAAAAAGTGCATGGAGATTTTATGAAAATGTGTGTATGTTAACAGAATGATGTTGTTTGGTCACAGTTGCGCAATAAATAATGGACTATTTTGGGCATAGCTATAAAATGTGTCACCGAAGTACTCACACGTGTGCATGATTTAAAGAGTTTGTGCTGTGAAGAAACACCATCGAAAAATAAGTATTGTGTAATTTGTAGTGAGAATGTATTCAAATAGATTTATGTTTATGAATCATGTTTCTTTTCAAAGTGTATTTATATAATAAAAAATGTTTATGAAAATGTTTTTTAATATTTTTTCGATGGATTGAATTTACAAATGATAAGTTATTTTGTTATACCATCACTCAAATTATGTGTTACGAATTTCTGATAGTTTAGGCTTTGTGTTCTATGGACTGTTCTTTCAGTTACCGATAAAACGTATTTGGAAAGTTATGAAATCATGGTAGTGTTTTTGGCATTATACCACAAGCAGTTCCTTTTTGATGGATTTTGTGTGACTGGCCATGGTGTTTGTAAACTTATTGAACTGTAGTATTATATAAATCTGCCCCGGGAAATCTGCAACTTCACGTTGTGGCAGATTTACACACTACTACAATCAGTTCTGAAAAGATTGGGTCATGCATAGTGTGAGAGTTCAAATCATGTGTACTGTGAGTTTGCTAAATCATGCATTGTTCATATTTATACCTGTTTACATGTTGCATATGTCAAAACAGTCACATCAGACCTCTAGTTACATAATTTATAATATATTTATTGTCATTTTTTAAAAGGTAATTATTTTTTTTCCTTTCTCAAAAAATCTACCCGACCACAGGGCTAGTCTAGTAAATTGAGATTTTCACTAGCCTGACTGAATACAGTAGTTACCTGTGCTGTGCGTACATGCAGTCAATAACACTGCCATATATTTTGATTTTGGAAGAGTCATTTAATACATCTAATTACTTTTGATACTATCCCAGCCAATTATTCACTCTCAATTACAAACAATGCTTTTGGTGCATATTAATTTATTTTTGGCATGAATAACGTTTCGTCTAATTCCACAGGGACTATGTCATTAACAAAGACTTTTACATATAATTCTACATAAATAAACTACTACCTTTTTGTTTTTATTATTCTTTTCAATTTTAGCGCTTCCATTTTGTTACTTACCGGGTACTCAGTTTTCATCTTTATTGTAATTTCTTTTTCTGAGTCAATATCCAAATAAGGATACAATTATGCAATAAAGATTATTATTATTACATAAATTGAACATGCTTACATGATCAAGGTCAACTGTAATCTTTTTAGTTTGATTTATATTTGACATCTGCCAGTTCAACACCAAAAATCTTGCCAAATTTTCAAATAAAATTGTTAAAAAAAAAACTTGTTATTTCTTTACCCATTGAATGTCAAAGTCAAGGTTTGTTATATTTCATCTAGAAGTGAACTACTTTTTCACACTTTCTAGAAGTATGTGTGGTTTACAACACTAATCATTTTACATGTAAAAATGACTGAAAAAAATCATAAAAAGGATCAAACTGGTGATCGTTCTAGGTAATAATATCTTTTGGTAAACACAGGGGGGGGGGGGGTGATTGTGAAGATTCTATTACACCTTCCCAGACAAAGACTAAAGAATACATTTTATGCTGACAATAACAAGACCTAGTTAGCCTAGATTCAGTGCAGTTTTCAAGGTCTTCAAGACCTCTAATCTAATTTTACCTTGTCTGTTTCTTCAAAGATGAAAGGCAAGGTATATGTGGAGATGATGTCTGTCGTCGTTGACTTCTTGACATGGTTGGAACAATCATATTCAAGCTTCACTTGTGCATCATACATTGTTTCATGATCCAATTCAAAATGACCATTTTAGTTCGGAAATTGCATCAGAATCAAGCAATTTTTATTATTTCTGAATCAAACTTGGTACATACATTGAAACCTAGTTTTGCATCAGTTTTCTTGTGACCAACATTATTGATTCCATTCAAGATGTTAGGCAATCTTCATAATCTGCCATTTCTGAACAGAAAGTATGAATGCATTTTGTTCAATTCTTAAGGTAGAGATGCAGGTTCGTGGGCACTCAGAGTGAATTTTGCTTTTTCTTACCCAGACAGTCTTGGCTAGATAGTGTTAAAATTTCAGAGCAATTGTCATTGTTGGAACATACTCAAAAATCAATTTTAAAATATAAGGAACCGAGGCACGCGTATGTGATTAAAAGTCCCGAAAGTTTGTTTGCGTTGCTTTTTGATTGACAAGTCACTGTTGATGTTATATGCAAATGATTGCTGGCCTCAGTTACGGAGCAGCTGGTGTGCGACTTCCTGTCCTGGCTCTCTGTTTACTTACCTCAAGCGCAATCAACTAGCAATCTACAAAAACAGACAAGATGTAGATGCTTCCAGCATGCAAGTGTAATGAAACAAAACATGTAACTGATAAGTGAACTTTTTCACCCTTAAATAAATTGATTTTTCATTTATTTTCATGTAGGAGGTAGCGTCGATAGGGTGATTTAATTTTCGCGCAAAACAAGTCCACAATTTCTTTTGTTTTCTTAATTGGTGCATAGATTTCAAGCTTTTTCGCATTGTGGGCGAAACTAAAAAATGTTTCCACACATTTTTACTCCAATGGCATTTTAACACTGAAATAAACATTTTTCGTTTTGCTGTAACGATTATCGTGCCGATAGAATTGCGATGCAATTGACAAACAACATAGTTGTGGCTGTCATCGATAGCTAACTTTTCAGTGTCAAATACACAAATATAAAATGCTTGGTTAATTAAAAATAAAAAAAATACCCTGGAAATTACCGAAAAATCGGCAATGAGATACTGTTTTTAAACACCACGGGAAAATCATGCACTCTGCTATGCCATCTTGGTTACCTTAATCGGAAACCCCCTTGTCAGCTAGCATGCACCGGTAGCGATGTTGCAAACTATCTTGTATGGCCGTGATCGGCGACCTCTGGTACTAAGGAACTCTATGAATGAGGTATTTCCAGAGGTCAGGGTTGGTTTAATTTGCATCGACCTGTCTTGTCTGTAGTTGAATGAAACCTGCCTTGATTTACAATAGTTCCCCTTCCAATGTGACTTCATTTCAAATTTGTATCACCGGCATTTGGGTGATTGAGTAGTAAAAACTGTGAATAGCCGTTGTGTAGTAAAATATTAGGGCCCATTTCAACCTGGTCGTCTAACTTTGCACAGTCCAAGGAAACTGCGTCATACTAAGGTTTGAGGGAAGGTAAATTTAGACTCAACCATCAACCCACTCAATGGTGATCACTATGTTTATATAACTGTATGAATATCTCATCGGCTTTACGTAATCCATTGTGTCCCTCCCTTAGTGGAATTGATAACACAACACCATGACAGTTTTCACGCAAGGTTGAGACTTCGCGGACGATTTTTCGTCCATTTCCCTCGAATTGTAAATATTTTTATTTTTATTTTTTTACCTGACGATTTAACAACAGCAAATTACGGTGTATGGTGTATTTCTTGGAGTTTCTGTTACACATATAAAGAGAATTATTCGTTTTTATCACTCTTTTTACAAAATGGCGATTATCTCAGTTTCATTTTTTACTCAAAATTTCAACTTTAAAACTATTTAACTTCTAGACGGTTCATTTGTTTTCAATGAAATTTTCAGGGGTTATTATTCAGGTCTATCCTAAGTAAATGACTTCGCATGGTTTCACTGTCTTCACTGGAACTGAAACAATAGAGCTGCCAATTAGCGGCTATGTTAACTGTGAGCAATTTATAAAATGTGAATGTTTCAAAGAGCACTGTGTAAAAACTTTTCAATGGAAGCACTAATAAATAAGCTATTATGTTCCTAGTAAACAGAAGTTTTAAATAAGTGTTTGACTCCTGTGTGCGAAGTATGTCTGTATGTCTGCATGTATGTATGTATGTATGTATGTATGTATGTATGTCACTTTTTTTGTTCCACCGTTATCTCAAGAACCTCTAATCAAATTTTGATGAAACTTGGTACATAGATGCTCTGGGATAATGCGCAGAGTTGATTAGGTTTTGGTAAAAATCTATGAATATTAATTACCTAATTTGCATGATACTTCACTGATTTTTAGCTGTTCCAATACTATTCCACTGATATCTAAAGAACCACTCATTGGATTTTGATGAAATGTGGCACATGGATGCTCTGAACTAGTGCACAGATTTGATTAGTTTTGGGTAAAAATCTATGAATATTAATTACCTAATTTGCATGATAATTAACTGATTTTAAGCTGTTTTATGACTGTTCCACTGATTTTTTGAAGAACCACTCATTGGATTTCAATGAAACTTGGCACATGGATGCTCTGAACTAATGCGCAGATTTGATTAGTTTTAGGTAAAAATCTGTTAATATTATTAATTACCTAATTTACATAATGATTAATCAATTTTCGGCTTTTCCACTAATATCTCAAGTACTAATCATAACATTTCAATAAAACTTGATACCTAGGTGTCATATGACACTGCACAGACCTGATAGTTTTTAGGGTAATATCAGTACATATTAATTACCTAATTTGCATAATTAATTAATTTTCAGCTTTTGGTATTTCGAGTAGTAATAATCATGTTTCAATGAAACTTGGTACATAGCTACTTGAGGACTGTGCAGAGACCTAATTAGTTTTTGGGTAAATATTTGTGCATATTAATCATCTTATTAGCATAATGGATGCTCTGAACTAATGCGCATGA